GGGCGCTACTGTGTTTTATAGCTGAGAGGTGGCACCTGGCAGGTAAGTGCCCTGCCTGGACGGCACAGGCATGGGTGGGACAGACTGAAGTCGCCTGGCCCCCCGGCCCACCGCACGCCCCTCCCTCTCGTCCAGCCAGAGCAACACTGCCAGTGCCGAAGAGCAGAGGCCGGCCCCCGCTGCCCCGACGGACGTGCAGCAACTGCTGAAAGAATGAAGATTCCCAAAGGGATTTCACAAAAACCCTTTAAAGTGCCTTCAGGAAACTCGCTATTAAAATGAGTAATTAATGTGGTGATTTGGGGTATTTATGTGTCGACTTGCCCACAGTGGTCTTTCTCAGCGTGGGACGCACCTGCTGAAGACTGTCTTCTTCTTTAAATCCCAGGCACAATGAGTCACAGTACATCTGCTGTGGCAACGCCACCAACCTGGTGAGCACAGACCCCAGAGGCACCGACACGCAACTGAAAGTCAGTGTCAGGACGTCCGTGTAACGAGGAAGCGCTCCATTTTCACAACCGCCCTGCGAGTTGGGCCTTCTCGTCTCCAGTTCGTCCTGGCAAGGTGACGCTGTCTCTCCCTCCTCATGAGCGGGTGGGACGTGACCTGTGCTCCTGCGTGGTGCTGTCTCCTCAAAAACAAAACTAACAAGTTTCTCTTAGAACAGATTCAAAGATACGTAATTTAAAGTGCCAAAGAAACAGCTCTTTAACTTCTCAGTAAAAGCCGGTTCAGGTCTGACCTGTGAAACGGCAGTGCTGTGGTGTCCTCCGAACTCCGGGGCTGTCGTGACCTCCTCTGCGATGCTTTGCCTAAGGAGTGATGTCTAATCTTCACAGCTGATCGTTCACTCGGCAAGTAGAGACCAGGGCACTGCGGCGTGCAGGCGGTGCTCTCCAGGTAAGAAAGCAAGCGGGCTGGGAACAGGGCTGGCCGGCGTGCGCAACCTGCACCGCACCACCGTGTGGCTCGGGCTGCTGTCCGGTGCCGTGGCTGCCTGCCCAGCACGCCCCTTCTCCCAGGTGAGGACACCAAGGCTCTGCGTTCAGTAACCTGACCAAGGTCATCATTCTGGGATAGAGCAGAGGGGTTTTGAATCCAGTGAGGCCCCCGTGACTGCTGCTGCAGGCCCACTCGCAGGAGGGCTGTGGGAACACGTGAGTGGCAGTCGGGAGGGCGTCCCTTTCTCAGTCAGGCCTACAGCGCCCTGGCGGGTGCTGGTTCACGGGGTGCGGCTCCTGATCATCTCTCAGCTGCTTTGCATAGGAAAAGAGGTATCTGACGTGGGCATGTGGTACTTCAAACTACCCCCGAATTGGAAACTTCACCAGACAAGGAAGTAAAAAGTGTCTTGCGTGGATTCTGTGAGATGGGTGACTTTTACCGCAGTTGGCCAACACTGCAAACTGGCAAACGTCTCTGTTGTAACACCAGCCAGGCCACTCATTGAAAGTCTTAAAATAAATGTGCAAGCAGAGGTTATTTTTAATTAGGAAACTTATTGTTCTACCTTGGGGGGAAAAACCCGCATTTTTCCTTGGCACTGTAACGTTGAGAGTAAGCCCAAAATGGCTGTGTTGCTGAAATTCTCGGGCTCTTCCTCAGACACGACATATTTATTTCACCAAAGGCGCTGCAAAGGCGCTGCATTCATCACACAGAGAAAACACAGAAAACCGAATGCCAGGGTGACAGCGGCAGCGAGTGGCCGCATTCCCTGTGAGGGCAGGAGGCCCTGGATGCTGGCGGCCCCATTCTGACCATTCCCAGCACCTGCCATGCACAGGACGGGGCAGGGGAGTTCACTCTGCCTGGGAGAACGGCAGGTGAAGGAAGACTGCCTGAGGGGGAACCGGGCTGCCTCTGAAGTTCTCCACGCCGGAATCGGGCTCTGGGACGCCGTGTCCCTGTGGAGACACGGCTCTGCTCCCCTGAGCACCCATGTGCACGGGTGGGAGCAGCCTCCCGTCTGCTGCAGGGAAACAGCTGAGGGGGTGACAACATACAGAGTTTAGGGATGCTCGGCCAATTAACGTTTGGGTTTTCTTACTAAATCACCAAATGACAAAAGACCTGGAAAATGCCCATCACAACACTCAGACGGCATTTCCAGAGCCTCCCTGTCCAGCTCAGTTGCTGGTCTGAGCTCTCAGAAGCCTGCAGGAGCCTGTGGTACGTGCAGAGCAGATGGTTACGTGACAAACATGGACTTCTCCACGGTGGAGCTGATGGGGACAGAGACCCTTCAACTGCCCTCAGAGATTCGGGCTCTGACAGCTGCAATCTGCGGGGTCTCTGCAAATGAAAAAGTCAGTCGCTCCCTGAATGAACATGCAGGGGTGATTATTCCCCACACGGCCATATGCAGGCGGTCCTATCATTTGTCACTGGAGCTAATTTAATTATCAGGCCACATTTAATTATCCAATATAAAACGTAAATAAAGTGAAAGGCTCACAGCACATACTAATTATGTTCATTGTAATAATTAAATGGGAAGAAACTTAGAAATAATACTGGAAGTGCCATCAAATACAAGGAAGCCTTTGACTTAACACAACATTTTCATCGGAAACAGCAACCCTGCAGGGAGATGACTGGGCCCCTCCCGCAGGGCACTTGCTCTGCTCTCCAGGTTCACTTGCTGAAGTCACTTTGCTTTCAAGGGGCTCCATCCACCAGTCCAGTTAAAGAACTGAAGGGGGCACACAGTAATGAGCGGCCCACAGCGCGGCTGCAGCGGGAGCTCGGGATGCCCCGTCTTACAGAGACCCACGCTGCTTCCCCACAGGAAATGAGGGCTCTCCTGCAGACACCCAGGCCTGCAAATGCAAGAGACTTCTGACTAATAATACAGAAACACTGCATGAGTTAAGCATTATAATGCTTCCTCTGAAATTCTTCTGATTTAGACAAAGCGGCCAAATAAATTCACGTTTTTAGGAACGGAGGTGAGCTGGGGCCCTGCCAGACCTGCCGGCCACTCCTTTTCCTCTCTGAGCCTGTTTCTCCATCTGCAGTGGGAAGGGCCGGTCCACTGGGGTGAAGGCTGCACAGCCTGTGGCCGCAGCTGGGGTGAGAGGTCACAACCGCACGACGTCCCTCCCGCAAACACCCACTTAGCAAGTGACTGGGTTTGGGGAGTGTAACAGGAACTTAATGAAGCAAGATTTTAGAATGAAAACAAACAATCAGCTCTTCAGTTACAGAGAACCCCTCAGTTCTCCAAGGACAGAAGCTTTATCATCTTAGCCAGTGTGAGGCCGGCCCCAGCCCTGCTCCTCAAGGCACCGAGCCCACCCGTCCTGCGGGGGGAACAGCGGTGGCTCCAGGCGGCATCTCGGAGCCAGGCGCCTGGCACCTCACCTGTGAGTCCGTGCTGACCCCTCCATTAACAGGAAAGCCACCTGGGGTGGCAGAGCCTGGAGCAGCACAGGAGAGTCTGAAAACCCACATGACGCTCGGACTCCCAGGTCAGAACGCTGGCCTGGCTGCGGTTCAGTCTCAGCCTTTAAAATATCACCACACTCACGGGGAGATCATCTAGCACCACCCACTCCTTCTAAAGCTTCTTCTTTGGTGGTAAATACATATCACCCGGAACTTACCGTTCTGACCATTTTCAGGCCTGCAGTTCAGTGGCATCGCACTCACGCTCACACTCACAGCAGTGAGCACCCTCCACCACTGTCCACCTCCAGAACCCTCCTACCCCTCAGTAAGGTCGCAACGCTCCGGCCCCGGGGGAAGTGGGCTTCCCAAGACCCCGCAGCGAGTGGTGGTGCCGGCGTCAGACTGGGGCCTCCTCTTTCCCACACTGCGGTGCGGCTGGTGCCCCCAGGACACACACATTCACGCCTTCCCAGGATCTCTGTGTCTCCTGAGCCGGGCACAGGGGTATGTCCCAGGGCTGCAGAACGGCAGCGTCTCAGCCTTTATTTTTGCTGGCAAAATAACTAGCAGCTTTATTCCTAAGGCCCACAGAACTGAACTTTTTGCTGTAGACTGTCCCCAGCAAAACACTATCACATACACACCACCGATCATGCCCCTGTTCACAAGGGCAGCAGGTGTCACGACAGTGTGGTAAGCAACCTGAAGCAGGAACTGTCGGGTCAACTATGACCTACCCACATGAGATAAAGCCACACAGACACTGGAACTGACGTTCGCGAGGAACGATGCTCATGTGAGGTCAGGTGCATGGAGCGAAACTCGAGCTCACAGTGTGACCTCACCCGTGTGAAAATATTCACAGATGGGTGGCGGTGGGCGGAAGGTACAGCCTTCTAGTTATGAGATAATAAAGATAGAGAAGTGAGGTTGTCAGGAATTACTCCTTGATAGGTCAGTTATGCCATATCTCTGGTTTTAAAAATAAAGGGAAATACGGTGCTTTATTATTTTTTTTCACAAAGTCTGTGATACAGATCTTCCAAGTTCTAAAAGCAGCAGAACCCCATTTACAAAAGAAATCTTGCTCAAGAACCAAATAATCCAAAGGGTCAAAAGCAAAGCACTCTGGTGACTCCAGGGGCAGAGCCCCAAGTCCGGCCTCCCCGGGCTCCCCTCCACCACCGGCTGGCAGCCTCCACCCACCCAGGCAGAGGCCAAATGCTGTGTCATAAAGCACCTGGACCTAGTACTTCCTACACAGTGACCCAAGTAGAAGGATGCACTCCACCTCATCAGAACAAAGTCTACACACAGAGCGTCACCACCCATGTGGTGAGGGAGCAGATGCTTCTGTGCAGCTTAAGGCTATTTCATAAAAAGTATTTTACTTTTATAGCTCTAAGGGGAGGCCTAGCATTAATCTAGTGCTAATCACAAATCCGGAGAGAAGCAGCCAGAAACCCCCAGACCTGCCCAGAGCCTGTGAAGGGCCTCCTGCAGGACAGATGCGCTCCAGCAGGCCAGCCTGCCGTTCCTCACTCCAGTGCCTTGTGCTCTTGGCGCTTGGGGAGCGGTCGCAGGGCCTTTCCGGGGCCTCTTACCTGGTTATCTGGGTGGCCGACAGTGAAGTAGCCCACGCAGACGATGACCTCGTGCAGGAGGCTTTCACAGGAGACTTGGCTGCAGTGGCCCAGGAGGGAGCTGGCGATGTGCCGGAATGCAAGCGACAAGCCTTCGGCCCCTACAATGGACTGTCAAAGACAAGGGGCCGTTAGAGTCCCACCCAGGGGAGCCAGGGGCCCTGCGCACTTTCTGCCACAGTGTTGGAAAAGCGTACGATGCATCTCGGTTCAGCGCAGGGATACTTGGGCTAACGAGTGATTGTAATACAGGCAGCACTTAACCTGAGAAGGGACAGAAAACGGAGCACAGCTGACCAAATGCCCGTGCTACATAGGTCAAGGCACCTAATGCATGAGTATTTCCTCTACTTGTAGTAAGTTATTTATTCTCCTTGTACAAACAGTCTTACTGTGAACAAAATTGGAAAAATACCAAAATACTAAAAATCATCTGTAAATCTACCATGTAGCTAACTTCCAATGCTTTCTTTCCTGAAGGAGAAAATATTTTCTTCTACATAGGGATAAAAATACAATTTTAATTACTTACTTATGTTCAAATAGAAAACATAAATAATTATTATCTGAATAAACAGCTCCCAGCTCCCCAAGGTTCCCAAAGGAATTAAAACCCCAATAACTGCCCACCCCCCAAAACCCAAACCACGAAGCCCCTGCCCCGCCAGCTCTGAGGCCCCCAGGGCCCTTTGCGCAGACAGGCACAGGGCTGTGGGTGGTGGGCACGCGGGAGGAGGGCCCGGGTCTGTCTGTGCAGCCCAGAGCTTCTATTTAATAAACATGTCAAACAGACAGAGCGACAGGAGGGCAAAGGGGAGGGGTGAGCCACCGATGGGGCTCTGGGCCCCCACCGGAGGGACGCCCCACTGCCGGCCGGGAGTGGCAGCGTCTTAAACTCATCTCTTGGTCTGAGCTCTTGGCCGACTGGAAGCAGGTCAGATATGTGGCGGTTTGGACGTTTCAACCAATGCACCTTGCTTAACGGTGGGAGAAATACAGTCCTTTAGCACAGTCCTTTAGCGAGTATTGTTGAAACAAAATTACTGCTAAATTTAAGAGTGTTTTCTGTTTCAGTTTCATTGCCCTGAGACACAATGTTTTTCACGCTTCAAAGAGACCTCAGAGGGCTTTGCTCCTTTAAATCAAGTAGTGACGCCTGCTCAGTGCAGCCCTTATTTAATTAGTTGTGTCCAGCATGCGGTGACCCAGTGCCCTCTGTGTGACCTTCACTGATAAGAGCAGGTCAAGGGGCATGTAAATTTGAATATAAAAATTAAACCAATTTTTCAAGGAACCTATATTTCCTTTTTCGCCAGAATTAATTGCCTGGTCAGAGCATTGATTTGTTTCTCGAGACCACCTTCAATTGTAAGAAATGTCAGACTATGCAATACACAGGATCTGGGACCTCGGGGCCGGCCCTGCCAATACGAATTCAGACTGAAATCGCCCTCTGCTGAGAGGAGAGGGTAGTGTCACGGCCTCTACGCGGTGAGAAGGCCTCACGCGGTGAGAAGGACGCAGCGAGGAAAGCGTGGTGATGACACCCTGCTACTCGCAACCAGGCTCCTGGCTCTTCGGCCTCGAAGACGGGGGCGCAGCACTGGGCACGCTGGCTCCGACCCTGAACTTCCCGGCTCCACATCCGACTCCAGGCTCTTCACCTTCACACGCTGACTCACTCCACATTTCTTAAGGCCCTACTATGTGCTAGCTAGCACAGACCTTTCTGAAATCCCATTTAATCCTCAGACTTGTGAGTGAGGTGGTTTTACTCTCTATTCCCAGAGGAGAATCGGAGTCGTAAGGGTTCAAATGACTTGTGTGAGGTCATACAACTTGCTAGTGGCGGCTCAGGACCAGGTCCGCCGAGCCCGGGTCTTCCCTGGACCGGCTCAGCATCCTCGTGAGGTGCTCACTTCGTCTTGTCTGGCCCTTCGGCAGGTCTGATCTCATTCCACTGTTCTTCGGTCCTTTGGTCCTCCCAGGACATCCACCACTGTCTCCCAGATTTTTCAAAGGTGAAGCCCATGCTGTACCTAAAGTCTCTTTTCCTATCCTTTACCCCACTTTATAGCTCTTAAAACCCCCCGCTTTGGACACATAAGTTGTTTTGATGAACCAGAACATGAGTTGCTCTGGCCTTATCAATCATAAAAACCACCTTTCTCCCAAACTCACCTGCTGTTTTACAATGCACCGTGTTTTTGTGTTATGGTTCCTCAAGCTTTACCTGCTTGGCCGGATGTCCATCTGCACCAGTGATGCCTGTGTGGGTCTCTGCTAAACAGAATGCAGTGGTTCCAAAACCTGACGGCACCTCTGACAGTCCTCCCACTGAGGGGGGGCTTTGTCTTCTCCCCTTGAATCTGGAAGGCTTAGGACTGATGTAACCAACCGAGTACGGGGAACATGGAGCTGCTGGTCCTGAAATGCCACTTGTTTTCTGTCAGTTTCCTCTCAGGACACGCCCACTCAGAACCCCGACATGATGATGTTCTGAGAAGCCAAGTCACACAGGGGAGCCTCCGGCCAACAGTCCTCGGTGAGTCTGGTCCTGGAGCCACCCCAGGCCGAAAACGTGAGGGTGAAGGAGCCTCCAGGCAGTTTCAGCCCGAGCTCTCTGGGCCCATCTCCCTCCCGTCCATGCACCCACTGCCGGGGCCTCTCCGCTGATGCCCCACATCACGGGGCAGAGACAAGCCAGTTGTCTGAATTCCACATCCACAGAATTTGTGACCATAATAAAATGGTTGTTGTTTATCCCAGTAAGTGTGCTTGTTTTTTTAAACATGCACAAGTAACTGCAACAATGAAGTGATTGGTGGTAAATGGATGAAAGGCCCTGATGCTAGAGAGTGGGGACGTTGAGCCCCCCACGCGTGCCGATGAGGAGGAACGGGATCTGGGGAGAGAATGAGAAACGGCGATGGCAAAACTGAGCAAAGTAAGTGAGACAGGAGAGTCGGACAGAGACTAAAAAGAAGAAAAAGCAGGAAGAAAATAATCAAGAGAAATACAGAGCGGCATGAGGGACAGAGGAGAAAGTGGCGGGAGTGCTGGCGACGGCGCGGAGTAGCCCGGGCGGGCCCCACACGCGGGGGCAGGTGCCGCGCAAACAGTCTGTCACCCTGCTGTTCCCGATGATTCTGGCAAAGTGGCTTGAGTTGGGGACACATTTCGGGCTGGATATGGCAAGGAGGTGCAGAGGAAAAATCTTGGTTTTTATCTTATTTTGGCAGGAAGGGCTCCAGAAATAAGCTTTTGATTTCTCTTGGTTCCAAAGGCTCAGTGTTTTTGAAAATTAAATTTCCTACCTGAAAAAAAAAACAACCCTGTTTCTAAGCTGACAGTCTACTACTGTTACAGCATAAAGCCATTTTTCTTTCTTTAGCTATAAAAATTTACAGGTTTGCACATTTAAGTACACAGGCCCTTTACACTGGACACAAACCAGTTACATCACTCACAGAAAGTCCTAACCATCAAAATCAATTTATCTAACTTTGGTTCTGTGTATGTGAGAAACCATCACCTTCCCTACTACTTAACAGTTGACGAGATGATAATGCCTTTATTGAAAGCAATCACGACAGAGGATTTACAAGTAGCAGAGTTAGAGGTCAGGGTACCGGTTGTGGCCCAGCCACCGTCACATCTGCGAGATGGGCACCTGCAGGGCAGTCACGAGAACAAATGGGAAAGCACATATTCAGCATCTAGCACAGCTCCCAGAAGACAGTAACTTGATAAATGGTCAGTATTATCATTGCCTTTATCGTAGGTATTCCTCAGGCGCAACCAGGGGAAGAACCCCATGCCATATCTACACTGGAACACAAACTCCTGGTGGGTTAACACCAATACCAGCCGATGCTTCGTACCTGAAAAGCAGGCAGATCGAGAACTGCAAAGCTGTTGAAGAAACGTAAACTCTGAATGGCCACCTGCACCGTGTTCTGGGTGTAACTCTCCTTGGGGCTGGTGGCACTGGGGTCCGAGATGGTGCCGTGGAAGAGGACGCAGTAGAGCATGTGCAGAACTCCTGCGAGGTCCGTGGCCTGAAGAGCCGCCGTCAGGCCAGTGGGATCCTGGCGGTTGCTGTCGAATATGCTGTGTGACCTGAGACAAGGAGACATTTGACTCTTTAAACCTATTTAAAGGGTGTTAGCATTTTTCTAGGAACAAGACAAGCAGACCATTAGAAACAAAACCTCAGAGTTGTGTAATAGGGAACGAGAACTGGCCCTTCGTGGCCTTGGTAGCCTTAGTTTGTTTAGATCCCAGGTCTGGGCGAACCAGACAGAGCCCACAAGACCTATTGGGATTTGGACCAGAAACAGCATGGCTTCCCTTCTGGATATGCCAAGGGCACCCTCCTAGGTGGGACGGCTACCAGGAAAGCGGGTGGCCTCCAAGGCCCAGAGCTGTGCTGGGACCTGAGCCCTTCTGAAGGCACGGCTGACTTCGAGGGGCCCCGGCCAGGGGAGAGAGCATTAAAGATCTAGGCTTCGCTTACTGCCTTGCCCAGAAGCACGTAAGAGATGCCACTCATTAAACAAGAACTTGGAAGTCCTGGCTGGCAAGTTTCTGGATCTTGTCTATTTGTCTCACGTATCAGTTATTTTTTCCCAAACGCATTATTCATTCACTTTAACCGGCCGCTTGCATCAGACTTGCAACACCATAGCAATAAGCACTTACGTCCTGTTCCTGGACATAGAAAGTACTGTTGTTAGCAACAGCACTTAAGCACTGTTTCTGACCTGGCTGAAAGTGGGAGAGAATCCAGCTCTCTCATGAAACCCTGTCATCTCGCTAACATGGAAGACCTACTAAGTGCACTCCTGTCTCCCACCTCTTCTCCTCAGCTTGTCACAGCTGGTAGGGAAGGAGCTCTCTCCTTAGTCCTCCTTATTGCACACATGGAGCGACTGGGTGATATGCGGTGGGTATGCATGCTTGTCGGCAGCACCGGCAGGAGGACCGGCAAGGACTTTCAAGGGTGACCTCTTCTTTCCTATCCATCCCTTATGCCAAATCTTAACTGGGCTGTTAAAGTACACAGACCGTAATGTAACCTTGCATCCTCGTGGAGAGACACTTCCTTATGGGACTTGATAAAAACAAAAAGCTACGAGACAGTATCTATCTGCTGACAGGCACACGCCCCTCACACACTGTGAGCTGGTGTCTGCTGGCCCTTCCCTCCCCCACAGCCAGGGACTTCGGGGTCAGACCCTGACTGGAGACTTGAGCAGAAACTAATGTGTCTGCGTTTATTATATAGGTTCCATAAAGGGGTCTGTGTTTGTTTAGCACTGACTGCTTTTCAGAACCAGTGACAGGTCAGAAGACATTCTTCCCTAAAGCTACTTCCCACCAGGCTTCGGAGCCCTGGGGGTGAGTGACGTTGCTGCTTGTGACTGAGAGCGCTGACTGCAACCCCCCTCCGCCCCCCCGCTGGCTTTAAACTGGCACGTTCACTCGCAGATATTCAGGAATACGGTGTTAACATTTAAAGCTTCTCAACGCCTGTTCTTTCCAAGGATTTAGTAAACGACACAAAGTCACTGCTGTTACTTCTTCATAGAGTAAATATCAGACAAAAAGTCAGCAAAGTCATCAGAGTATCCACCCCCACACACACACAATTCAAGTAAATGCTAATCACAGGTTACAAAGCAACAAACCCCAGGATCTTCTGCAGCATTTTCCGGAAACAAAAATGTTCCTTCAGAAAAAGCCATTGAATAGTCATTCAAGAACTCAGATGTGGGTGGAAATGGTTCAAAGGACACAGAGCATTGTTTCAGGGAAAAGACCACTCATGTGCAAGTGCGGGCGCAGGGAGGGTGAGGACTAATGCAGTCCTGAAGGACTTTGGAGAATGTTTACTTTTGATCAAGTCTGAAATACAGATAATTTGTCCACGAACAGGCCCCTGGCTTCTGTTGGTCTCCGCTGTCAGATACGGTCACTTTCAGCCTGAATGTTTATAATAAAAAAGGAAAAGGCTTTATTCATATCAGGCATGGGTTATAAAGTTTTCTTTTAAAAAGACACGAAAAAAATCAGATCAGAATTTTTGTATACTACACTTTGAGATCTTCTAAATTTTACCGGATTTTCAAGTGTTTTTGTTTGGCTTCTAGGACCACAGATCTTGGTGACATGTGCATTTCTGTTCATTAAAAGCTGGTCTCAATTAGGAAAAACCATCAACACTCCTGCACGACACCCAAAACCCCAACTTTTCTTTACAGCAGAGAACAGCTGGGCGTGACGCAAGTGCCACCCGCACCAAGTCTGGCACTGTAAACCACTACACACAAGCCTTCCTCGGTCCCCAAAGCAGCTGTGACGGCCGCAGACACGACAGCAAGCTGCCCCGTTTGTCCCTGGCTTGTTGGCTGTTGTCCTCCCAGTCCCGATTCCTGGCTTGAGAGCATCCACCCTGATCGCCTTCAGCGCTGCTGACCGCCTGGACTTCTCTGGGCACCTTGGCTTTGGGCCTGTTCACTCCTTTAGTTCTGGAAGCCCTGAGGCATCTTGTGTGACCCTCCTTCCCATTTAGCACCTAACCAAGAGAACCCCACTTGGCGGTTCACAGAGCTTGGGGTGAACACAGGGGTGCGACGATTGGTCACATACTCTCTACTTAAAGAGCCAAAGTACCTGTGCTGCAGGGACAGTGAACCTCTGAGATGTGCAGAGCCGAGGAAGACCAGGCAGCTGTCCCAGAGGAGGTTATGGGCTAACAGGGGCAGGTGGGCAGAGCAGCAGGCGCACCCTGCTGCTGGAATAAATGATCACAGTCCAGTTCTGGGGGTTAGAAACCCAGCACAGGTCTCCCTGGACTACAGTCACGGTGTTGCCGGAGCTGTGTTCCCTCTGGCAGCTGCAGGGAAAAGCCGTCTCCTGGCCTTTTACAGGTTTTGCAGGACGGCTGCAGTGGCTCGGGGCCCCTCCTCCACTGTCAATTCTCTCAGGCAGACTTTCCTACCTCCTCCTGTCACTCACAGTGACCTCTGTGGTCACGTGGGGCGCGCTGCCGTACCCAGGAGACTCGCCCACGTCACGATCCTAAAGCCTTTCTGCAAACCCCTTTGCCAGGCGAGGGAACACCTTCATAGGTTCTGCGATTAGGACATAGACATCTTTGGCAGGGGCATTACTCTTTTTTCCTAGTATTTTTCATTATGGTAAAATACACATAAAATTTACTATCATACAAATTTTTAAGTGTACAGTTCAGTAGTATTAAGTAGTTTCATAATATTGTGCAATCATTGCCACCAACCTTCTCCATAACTCCTTCATTATATAAAGCTGGAACTCTGGAGCCATTAAACAAAAGCTCCGCTTTCCACTTTGTCTCCATGTTTTGACTGTGCTGAGTGCCTCATGTAACTGGAATTGTCATACACTTTTGTCTGTCATAGGCTTATGTTACTTAGCATAATGTCCTCAAGGTTTGTCAGTGTTGCAGTATATGACATAATTTCCCCGTTTTTAAGGCTGAGTAATATTCCATTGTACATTTATCTATCCACCCACTGGACACTTGGGTTGCTCACGCATTCTAGCTGTTGTGACTAATGCTGCTCTGAACGTAGGTGTACCGATACATCTTCAAAACCCTGTTTGCTTTCTTTTTTAAAAAAATATTTTATTTATTTATCTTCAGAGGGGAAGGGAAGGAGAGAGGGAGATAAATATCAATGTGTGGTTATCTCTTGTACATCCCCTGCTGGGAATCAGAACTGCCAATCCTTTGGTTCACAGGTCTGCACTCAATCCACTGAGCAACACCAGCCAGAGCCAAAACCCTGTTTTCAATTCTTTTGAGAATATATCCAGAGGTGGAACTGCTGGACCACAGGGTAATTCTATTTTTAATTCTTTGAGGAGCCACCACAATGTCTCTCACTGCAGCTCTATGCTCCCACCAACAACACACGAGAGTTCCAATTTCTCTACACCCTCACCGATACATGTTATTTTCCTGTTTTTATTTTTGATAGCAGCCATCCTCATGGGTGTGAGGTACTGTCTCTATGCAGTTTTGATTTCCCTATAAGCAATGATGCTCAACATCTGTTCCTGGGCTTATTGGCAATTTGTGTATATTCTTTGGAGAAATTTCAAGTTTTTTGTTTTGTTTTTTACCATTCTTTCAATCAGGTTTTTCTTCTTTTGCTGTTGTTGAGTTTTAGGAATTTTCCATAGTTTCTGGATAGTATAACCCCTTATCAGATACTTGATTTGCAAATATTTCCTCCCACTCTCTGGGTTGCTTCTGTGCTCTAGTAACAGTGTCTTTTGATGCACAAAATAATTTTTTTTCCATGAGGTCCAACTTGTCTATTTTTCTTTATTGTCTGGCGTCATACGCAATAAATCACGGACAAATCCAATGTCGCGAAGCTTTGCCCTAAATATTCTTCTAAGAGTTGAACCGTCTTTGATCCATCTTGAATTATAGTGTTAGGTAACGGTCTAGCTTCATTCTTTTGCTTGTGAATAAATATCCAGTTTGCCCAGCACCGTCTGTTGGAAACTGTGCTTTCCCAATGGTCATGACACACTTGTCAAAAACCACTTGACCACATATGCGAGGGTTTATTTCTGGGTTCCGTTCTGTTCTCTTCTATTCTATTGGTTTATCTGTCTGTCTTTATGCCAGGACCATGCTGTTTTGATTCCTGTATTTTTGTAGTACAGTTTTGAAATCAGCTAGCATGAGTCCTCCAGCTTTGTCCTTTTTCAAGACTGTTTTAATTACTGGGGTCCTTTGAGATTCCATATAAACTTTAGGGTGAGGCCAGTGAGAAGAAACTCTAGGCTCTGGTTGGGGTCTGAGCAGAGGCCCGAGAAGGTGGAAGATAAAAAGGCGATGGGCTCAGGACACTCTGGGGACAGCCAAAGGTGAGAGGAAGAAGGGCGGGTGGGGCCCACGAGGTGGGACTGAAGGCAGCAGACGTGGCCCTGGGTCTGGGATCCCGGCCGAGGGAATGGATCCCTGGCACAGGCCAACACTACACACTGGCATTTCTAACTGCCAATCAACCACTATTTCCTCAGTTCTGTCTTTGTTGCCAGCTTGGTGCTAGGTGCCTGAGGGGAGCTGCGAGGATATTTGGTCTCCTTTCTCAGGGAAATCTTTTCATCTGAAGACATGAAACATACACAGGACATGGGAACTAATGGATTAGAAATAGACAAATATTGGGAAACAGGTATAAATAGCAGGCTCCATCTCAGATTTCTAAGGCAAGTACTCCTCTGATTGAATTGGATATGAATACATTGGATTCTGGGAGACAGAACTTAAAAATAAGTAAGGTTTGGGGTCTTAAAATCAGATCAGATGACTAGAATCATGAGCCAAGTAAGGTAGGAGGAATCCTCGATATTGAATGAAAGCCAAAGAGTTTAGAATCTGACATATTAAATGAAAGTTCCTGGTAGAAATTGGGAGTAGGAATTCTAACAGGAAATATCTTATTACCAACATGGTTTGTGTTTTAACTGTACATGCTGACTTGATTTACTTTTTCCTATTTGTTTTTCTTTTGGTCTAACTTTTCATGTTTTTTTAATTTTAATTTTTAAAAATATTTTATTTATTTATTTTTAGAGAGAGGGAAAGGGAGAAAGAAAGGGAAAGAAGGGAGAAAGAGAGGGAGAGAACCATTGATGTGTGAGAGATACATACACTGGTTATCTCCTGAGCACCCCCAATGGGAGACATGGCCCACAATCCAGGCATGTGCCTTGATTGGGCATTGAACTGCGACCTTTTGGTTTGCAGGCAGGTAGTCAAGTCAGTGAACTACACGAGCCAGGGCTCGTGTTTCGTTTTGTATTTTTTTTAAGTTTAGCCCTGGCTGCTGTGGTTCAGTGGATTGACTGAGGACATGTGAACCAAAGTGTCGCGGGTTCGATTCTCAGTCAGGGCACATGCCTGGGCTGTGGGCCAGGCCCTCGGTCAGTGGCATGCGAAGGGCAAACCAGACATTGATGGTTATCTCCCTCTCTTTCTCCCTCCCTTTCCCTCTAAAAATAAATTAATAAAATCTTTAAAAAGTTTTAAAAAGTTTATACAGGTTGAGGCAAAAGCACATTTACAGTAGTAAGTACAGAAAACACAATCTTTATTCTCGTACTATTATTTATTCTTGTATTATTTTCCACACAGACAACTGTAACCCTACTTTTGCCCCACCCATACTTCTGTAAGGCAGCTCAAATCTTGTTTGGGACACAGTGATACATATAAAAAACAGCACTCGGGGAGTTAGTCCCCATCTGCCCCGCCCTGTTGAACCGCTCGAGGGAAGAATTACCAAATTCACTTTCATGACATGAGAAACAGGCCTTGCAGCTGCAGAGTCTGCGGCGGGTCAGAGCTGGGAGAGAAGGAACTGCACGCGTATGTTTGGATTCCTAAACGTGTGTGTCCAGCACGCGCTACACAGGGTTTTCCTCTTGAGAGCCTGCCTCCAAAGTTCTACAGCCAGAAGCCGACTGTGAGTGTGTCCTTAAAGGAAGCAGAGGGGAGACCCCCAGGAGAAGCCCCCAGGCGGGTTCCGTGCTGACCCCACCGCCACGGCCACCTCCCAGCAGATCATATTCCGTGGTTCACACGGCATTTCCACATTTACTGTCGCGTCTGAGGCTCCCAGCAGCCCGGGAGGCGCCAGATCACCACTACAGGACTCGACACCCAGTCAAGTCGGGCCTCTAGCTGGTCTCCCCATCTTTCTGCTTGATGCCTTTGGTTCTGCTCTTTCTTGGTTTACCTCTCCCCCACCACTCAGTGTTCCAACCCCTTCTATCTTTCAAGGCCCGGATGGAACTTCAGTTGCTCTAGAAGATAGCTAACCCTTCAATGAGGGTGCTCTGTCCTCCCTGAACTCCACCAGGACGGTGTGACGGGCAGGCCGTGCTCAGTGCTCCCACGTACCCTGCAGCCTCTGTCTCACGCCGTGGATAGCGGCACAAGGGACATCTCTCCCGTGCCAGCGGACAGGGTCCCTGAGGACAGGACAGACGTCTGAGTCATTTCTGCTTTCTCCCACACCCAGCACAGGGCCTGGCACAGGGCAAGTGCTACGTAAACACTTGTTTAATGAATGAGAGAGCAGTTCAGGCAGGGGAGCTAGAGTTTACCTTTGCCTGATCCAGTGGCTCTCAGGCACTTGAACACTTGGGAAGCACTTATTCACATCCACACAATCAATGGGCTGACTTACAAACCATTCTTGTCTTTTTTGACATCAGTTTCCAGGGACCTTGCCTAGAACCAATTCTGCTACTGCAGTTGAGGGATATGAAAATGGAAACAGAAATACACAGCACAACACGCATCTCTGCATAGAAATACCCCGGAATGCAGAACTGGCCAGGACCGAGCAGCTCCTCTCCTGTGCAGCCCCCCTGCTGCGGAGCCTCCTACTCCGCCCTCTCACTGTGGTGCCCGGCACGGCCACGAGTCCAGACGGGACGCTGGGAAGTGAGGGGCCCGTGTTCCCGCCTCCCTGTGGGGCTAAGGAGCCGGCACCCGAAGGGGCCTCAGCGATGCACTGCCCTGAGATCTGCACGCCGTCCTTTCTTCTCCTTGTAGGACCAAGAACGGAAAACTGACCATGGTACAGGCCAAAGAAACAGCGTTTCTGAAAGTCCTACACCGACTGTGGAACTTAGTTTAAGCAGTAGCTTGTGAACAGCTCCCACGCTAAAATTCTGGAGTAATCCTAAGGTAAAATCAATCCTTTTATAAGAAGATCGCAATTTCTGTTTTTCCTTAAAGAAATGCAAGTTCATTGTTCAAAAGCAAGCAGTGCTTTTCTCCCCCACACTGAAGCAAGGATTAACAGCAAAAATTCTGATACTCAAATTGTCTTTCAGAAAAGCCAGGTAAAAGTTAGGAGATTAAGGGCACAATGACAGCAGGGCCAGGCAGACCTGGGTAACCGCCCCCACAAAGGCCAGCCACCCGCAGACCCGGTGTTTACTCAAAGCCGGGCTCTCTCTCCATTAGGGACCTGGTTGTCTCAGGGCAGCCGGCACACCGGGGGCAGGGCTGGGGGCCTCTCTGCCTCCTCTTTGTCTTTGATTCCTGCCGCTCACAGTGGCCTGGAGCTAACGCCTTCCCGGACAGTCGGCGACCTCCCCTGGCAGCCCGAACAGGCACTCCGATGTTGCAGCAGCCACACTGCGTTTCTCCCCAGGCACACTGTGACCTTGTGCAGACACCCTAGGTGACATACATAACACAGAACTCTGGACAGGCTGCTGCAGTTTATAGTCTGGAAATATAATTCCCACAAAGAAAGGGGAAGTAGACAAAATGGCCTGTCAACACCAGAGGGGTCATGCGGTCTGGAGGGGTCAGCAAACGCTGAAGGCTGAAGGAGGACAGGACGGCAGCAGTCAGGGGTCACCTGTCTCCACGACCGGGGATCCAACCCACAACCCAGGGACGTGCCCTGACCAGGGATGGAACCCCAACCTTGTGGTGTAAGGGACTATGCTCCAACCAGGTGAGCTGCCTGCCCAGGGCCATTAGTTTTATTCTTCACAAACCCCTAAAAAATAATTTGTATGCAGAGCTGCTTAGATCTTCACTGTAAGAAAATGACTGTACTGAAAACCCTCCTGAAAATCCTCAATACACCTGACAGACAGGTCACACTCCCATCAGAAACGCTGAAATGGTTCCACAGGTGCCCCTCGCTTGGTGCGGGGGAGGGGAGAGAACAGGAGGCCCCCTCTGGCCCACCTCGGAGAGTTGCTGCTCGGGGGGCAGGCCCCAGGGTGGGGTCTAAAGAGCCACGCGGGCCCTCAGGAGTCCTGGCTACACGCGTGCCTGTGGGTCACATGTGACTTGGCGCAAGGGACGAAGCCCGCAGGCTGCGGCGGCGGTGGCAGAGCTCAGAGGCTGCTGGTGCTGAGTTGGGGCCTGGCTTGGTGCGACCGAGCTTTGTCACGCACACACGGACTTGAAGAGCCTCAGCTGGCTCCTCCGGACCCCAGCGTGAGAGGGAGTGGCTGTACTCTACGGCTCTTCTAGCAGTGACGGTGAAGTTCAGGACACCATCCAGGAAACCAGACTCTGCCAGGAGGCTGCGGCCCAATTTCCACATGGGAAGCCAGTGAGGACAGAGGTAGGATAAAGGAGAAAGAGGCCAAGGGGACCTCCAGCCTCCCTACGAAACGCCCTGAAGATGGCCAAAATGTAAGAGATGGTTCACAGGTTCAGTCCAGGTGGACGTCAAGGAGGCATCTTACCTTCCGGTGACAGCCCCGCACAGCGTGCAGGCGCCCTGCAAGAGTCCCGCTGCATGCTGCAGGAGCGCGGCCAGCCGCGGGTTCTCGTCCACCGGGCCCTGTACTGACAGGAAGCAGCCGCACAGCTTGTCGATCAGGCCGATGCTCACCACGTAGCTGGAAGTGGGGAGAAAGGTGTCAGCAGCCTGCACGGGCTGGCAACACCCCCAAAGAGGAGTCCTCACAAACACAGGTGCACATGCCCGGACAGGCAGACACAGCACAGGTGTGCGTACAGTTTCCTTAACACTGAGTCCTGAATGATCGGCTGTTTCTGTGAGTGGTTCCCTTCTCTGTTTCGGTTCTTCTAAGCCTGCCCTTCCAGAAAGATGAATGAAAACAACTGTCCAATCATTCTTACTGGTCTAAGGAGTCTGAACATAGCTGGAGTGGTTTATAATGAGCTCTACACTCTTGAGAAGCAGAACTTCTTGAACTGCCAGGGAGCCACATTTACGAAGCATGGGTTTGAACAAGACGCCGCTGCCCAGACACTCCTGCTCAAACTTAAACCTCTCATGCAGGTCCTCGGGGTCTGGAAGCTCTGACACTACTGATATGGAACAAACACCGGGAATCTAACTGCGTCCTGTTAGGAAGAGTACCAGCCCTGAGAGTAGACAATAACATTTAAGAGTCACTTTCATCTTTCCTGCCCCTTCCCAAATTATTTATTAAAGTGGATGAACACCGGTGGCCCTTTTATGAGTCCACAAAGCAGCAATCATCGGAGATAATATTTTAAGATTATACATGGCGTGTGGACCCGTCGCCTTGGCTCAGCCATCTTACTCTGACTCGGGGCTACTGCACCTGCATGTGGGGAAAGGACAGGCCCTCAAACGCGGCCATCTGAAAACCGCCAGGTTAACTTCTGGCGACACGTGCGAAGCAATCGACACGTCTGCTCCCGAGTACCCCCCTCACTGTTCAGCACACCTCTGCATCAGAAGAAGGCGAATCGGAGGAATTATTCATGTTCGGAGCCTCTTCCCAGTTTACAGAAGGCGCAGGTCCCGTCTGCTTTCTCCTCTTACACCAGGAGTGTGTCCCCGGGCTGCTGAACAGCTGCTACGGATCCCACACCCAGAGCGTGAAAGGACGGCCACCAGCCCTGTGCTCTCACAGTGAGGAGAAGGCAGACTGGCACACGTACACGCTGTAGATCTCAGGGTGACCCGCTCTAACAGAACCAAACCTTTAAAACTGGCTCTTACACTTGCACAAGACTTCTCAGTTCACACAGTGGGTTCACATTAACCATCCCTGTGAATTATCTGAACCAGCCTGGGGGGTGGGCAGCAGCAGTTTCATTTCTGTTTGCCCTGCGTGGTTCTCCTCCACTTCCACGTGGCCCTGCTGGGCTGCTAAACACTGTGCCCTCTGCTCCGGGGCAGGCCTCGCATTCCTTGCCTTAGCACTAGTAGTAGTGAGTTCCGGGATTGGCCAAGGAGGAACACCCAGCATCTTCTGTGAAATGAACACATGACCGCGGGAGAGTAAGCCCCCATTGGGGACATGTCCCCAGTGGGGACTGAGCTGTGACTCTGAGGCGTGCTGGCCCCCACTTGTCCCAAGAAGAACATGTACTTCCAGAAAGGAGCCAGGCAGAGGAAGCCAAAGTATGAAGAGAGAGTCCAGGCGGTATAACTGGAGCCCTAGATTTATAAACTCAGCACAATCCCCAATCGAAAATTCCAATGGCATTTTTTGCAGAAATAGGAAAAACAATTGCATGGAACCACAGAACACACCAAAGAGCCAAAGCAGTCCTGACAAACAAGTATGAAGCTACAGCAATAAAAAGAGGAATGTCCTGGCATGAAACAGACACAAGGGATACAAGCACCGCAGTGGAGTGAGGCGACCCCTTTGTGTGTCCCCTTAAAATTACCACGAGTAGGTCGCCTCTAACCCAGCAAGGTTCCCTGGCGGACGTGTGTCTGAAGGTAGGACAGGGCCTGGGCAGGAATGGTGCACACAGCCCTGATCCTCCAGCAGAGGAGGAGTCAGGAGCAGCCACCACTCCATGACCTGGTGGTGGGTAGGAGGGGCAGCACTAGGGTTGGAGCTCGAGCATCTGGCTTCCCAGCCAGCGCACAGCAGGGCCAGCTGCCAGTGGGAACAAGGTCGCAGTGTGGAGGCTCGTGAACTCAGACTCCCCTCTTCCTTGGCTGTGGAGGAGACCCGAGTGACCCAGACACAGCAGAGCCACCCACCCACCACCCTGTAACTGAGGTGGCATAACTCTGGTGGCAACCACAGGGATACCGGGTCCCCAGGACCCTAGAGGTGCCGGTAGCTCAGGTAAGAGAAAACAAACAAACAAAAAAAATTGCGCTATAGCACCATCTACTGGAAAACAAAAGAAAGACTCCTAATCATCAACCTCAATTGTTAAAATCAAAACAGCACCCAAATAAGAAAGGTGTTCATTACCTCAAACGTGCCGCAGAGGAGCAACCCATCAAGCATGACAACCAAGTAACACAGTAACACAAAAAGAAAATGACAATTCTCCGGAACCCAAACTGAAAGCCATAGAAGACTGTGATCACAATGTCAGAGAATTCACAATCAGTACCATGAAGAAACTCAAGGAGATAGAAGAAAACCCAGAAAGGCAGCCCGATGACCTCAGGCATAAAATTAATGAACAGAAAAAGTACTTCACCAAAAGCCTGAAACTGTAAAGAAAGAATCAAACAGAAATTCTGGAGCTGAAGAACTCAATAAACGAGATGAAGAATGAACTAGAAAGCACTAGAAATAGAGCAGACCACATGGGAGAGAAGACAGAAACCTAGAAATGACTCACAGGGAAGAGGAGAGAGACCTAAGATCCACCTGCCTCCAGGAGAAAGGGCGACACAGGAAAATGGGTCCCCAGGACAAGCGGAAAGAAACGGGGCAGCGAACAGAAAGTCTGTTTAAACAACTGACGGATGAGAACTTCCCAAACCTGGAGAAGGAGCTGGACATACAAGTACAAGAAGCTAATAGAACAACTAGTTTTCTCAACGCAGAAAGACCTCCAACACATTATATTAAAGCTGTTAATAGTCAACGATAAAGAAAGAATTCTAAAGGCAGTCAGGTGGGAGAAAAAAAAGACCATAAGCTGCACAGGAAACACATCCGTGGGGCTACCATCACATTTCTCAGCAGAAACGCTACCGGCCAGAAGAGAACGGCACGGCAATCCGAACTACCGCCAGAATGGCGCCCGCCAGCCAAGGGCAGGCTCTACAATGACCAAGACACAGGGACACCGAGTGGGGTCTAGCAACTGAGAGAAAGGACGACGGAGGGGATGTGGTGCCGGTGCCAGGAGCAAAGGCAGAAGAGGGCGTTCTCCTCCTCCTGTCAACCCACCACCGGCTTCGGACAGCAGCCAACCGCACATCACAGAGGAGCTGCAGAGAGACGGGGCAGGTGGCTGCAGAACCCTGATGGGAAACCCAGTGTCCTAGCTGATTCCAGACCCACGAAGAAAAAAGAGGTCAGACTTCAAAGTGGGAGTAGACTTCCCCGGGGACGCGTAGGAAGCATGCAGGTGTTGGGAGTCCAGCTAGACCCGAGTTCCGGGCTCGACTCTCCTTCCTGCTCTAGAACTTTTCTATTACATAATCCTGGGCAAAGCACTTACACTTTCTGAACAATCCCCTCCCCGACAGCACCTGCATTAGAAACCCAACACTTACAGGGCTGCAACGCCTCCGTACAAGAGCCTGCGCCCAGCGGCTGCTCCATAAATGGCAGCTGTTACTATTAAGTCTGAACTGGATTTACAGCCAGAGATGGTGTGGGATAGGAGAACTGAGGAATTCTTTGAGGTGAAAAGAGTTGACAGCAATCGTTACAAAAGCTTGGACACGACACGTCAAACATCAAACATCTAAACATCGGGGAAGACACGTGAACACTAGCTCTATTTCTTCTCAGTAGTAAGAGTTTCCTCTCTGCCAGGAATTAGTGGGTGGTGCTGAAACCACCACCACTATCACACGGGCTCTGAGATTTCAATGATCTTAACATAACTTTTTAAAACAGAAGAAAGTTTTATTAAGAAATCCAGCAATTTTACCTGATGAGGTCCTGAACTCGGCTGTTAAAAGCATCACTTTGGGAGGATTTGTTTTTCATTTCCTCTGTGGATATTTTTGGTGTAGCTGGCTGGCTGCTTCCATCTGGTCGATTGGCAATCAGGCAGCCAAGAACCACAGCAATGACTTTGAGAAGTCCAGTTGTCAAGCCTTCAAAAACTTGCTTATTTGTATTTCTTCCCAAAATAGCACTATTTTCATCTGGAACATAAACCTAGATGGAAATAAATGCAGTAACTGTGTTTAAATAAAACCACCACGAGGGGACAGAAATACTGTGGAAACTTTTGGGAATCGTAAGTAATTCTGAAGTTCTAGAGGGGCCACCAGACTGTCCGAAGGCTGAGTGCTCCTCTCACCGTCGCCCGTGCTAGCGGGGTGACCTTGGCCCGGTGGTGGCCGCCCAGCGCCAATATTCTCATCTGTGAAACAGGGGTGACAAGAGCCACTGGGTCACAGGGTTCTTGTGAGGAATAAACGAGCTAACGCACATAAAAGGTTTAGCTTGTGCCTAGACATATACTAAGTGCTCAATAAATATTATTCATTCAGTGGAATAAATTATATTAGACTGAAGCCCCTGAAGGCTCCAGAACGACAAAACCAAAGATGTTTCTCTCCCTCTCTCCTTCCCTTCCCCTCTAAAGATAAATAAATAAAATCTTAAAAAAAAAAAAAAGAATCTGGATGAGTTCAGAAAACAAACCAATTGGTAAACTGACAGCACTGTTCTCATTAAAGTGAAGGTTTAAAATATCAACTCTAAATTCCTGTACTAGGATGAAATTTGTATTTATTACAAAATGGCAAAATAGTTTTTCCTAATACACTGGTTCATCTTCAGATCTGTGTATGACCCGCAGGAAGTAACTAACCAGGTAGTGACACGTCGGGAGTAGGAGTGGGAGGCTGGGCTTGGGTTCTGGCCCCGCAGCTACGTTGTCTCGGACAAGTCCCCTAACCTCCTGTGCCTGAGTTCCCTCCACTGCGAAATGAAGGGAACCGTAGTGTCTGATGAATCACCACATGTCAGTTCTCAGAACAACATCTGGCAGACAGGGAAGCCCCACAGAAGTATCATCTGCTACCACAACTGCAATTCTTACTGGGGCTCCTACCGTCACGAGGCATAGGCGATGCAGTACACGAAGGTCAGCCCTCAGAGAGGGACGCTAACGTGCACGATGAGCAGGACGCACTTCCCAGATGGGGAGCCATGCTGTGGGCCCTGCGTCCCAGGGAGAGAACAGGCTCCTCCCAAAGGCCTTGCTGCCGAGAATGGGTGCAAGGAAGGGGTCGGAACCAGACGAAACTGTATTCAAGTTCCCTCCAGCGGATCACAGGACTTTAAGTAATAATTTCACGTCCCCCAGCCTTGGCTGCTCTACCTGCCTGGCCGCTGTAATTACTATGAAGTTCAAGTAAGATGATGAATGGACTAACACTTGGTAAAGTATTGCCCTTTACACACACCCTCACCTAGTGACAACCAGCCTCACCCTGACTCACCTGCACCAGTTCTATCAAAAGGTAGAGGGATAAACGGTCACCTGGATCCTTATAAACACAAGCGAACATTCTCTCCATTGTTTTGTTATTTTAGATGATTTTGTGAAAGTCACTTTTCTAAGAACAGCCTTGTTTAAGACTGTTGGCCACAAGCCATGCCCAACCAGAGCCATTCCTAAGCCAATGCAGTTACAGTGGAGTCTTCCTGCACTGTGTGCTCTGATTGACCAAAGGAGTCTTCAAACCTCTATCGCAGTTGTGGAAGTCATACCAGCTTCTTCAGACTATGACCCGCACAACCCAGTCTGTCCCAACCCAGAAGGTGGCACTGGGAGTGGGGTTTGAACACACGATTGTGAGAGTCAGGATAAGCTCATATATGCTGCAGTGAAACATCCCTCAAAATTTCACTGGTTTCAAACAAAGCTTTCTTTCTCCCTCAAGTGACACACCCATCTCAGGCTAATTGGGTCTCTGCTCTGTGTCCTCAATGTACTCGCTCCGGAGCCCACATGGCAAAGCAACCACCAGTCAGAGCAGCAATTTCCACCCTGCGTGCCACAGGAATTTTTACAACATACAATACCTGCCTCTTTAGGCAGGGGCGCTGACTTCTTCCCTTAGATTGTCGAGTTAATAACACGACATCAGCCAACACAACAATAGCCATCCCATGTGAATGCCTGGTCTTGAACCATAAACACAGGTCATGTAACCAAGTTACAGGTTATTGGTCATGTCGCATAAGGTTTCATCTGATTGGTTAATTCTTGGTACCAGAATTACTTATATACAAATATAGGCAGCTGATTTTTTAGAGTCACTTTGGGGCAAAAAGGGTAGGTAATTATTATGATTTTTTTGCCCCAAAGTGACTCTAAAAAATCAGCTGCCTATATTTGATTTTGATTTTTTGGGTAAATCTATCAAAATTATACCTATTTTTGTCAGATTTGCAAACAATCTGTTTTTTGGTGTGTAACAGGATTTTAGTAATTAGTTTATGTGCTATGAGATGAAAAAGGACTCAAATCCCTGGTTTAGAGCAACTATCCCCAACAGAAGAGGACCAAGATGACTGACATGTGCACTCCACACGGTTCTATACATAAGTGCTACTGAGCGCTTGAAATGTGCGACTTAGGGACTGAATTTTAATTTTAACTAATTTCAATTTTAATAGTGGCTAGTGCACTGGACCATACAGAGCACCGCAGGTCACAGTGGCAGAGATGATGACCCCTGGTCTCATGTCAATATTACCTGTGTTACCTGGAAGTGACACTCACCTCTGCTCACAGTTCATCTGCCCCAAACAACCACAGAGGCCGACCCAACCTCAGGGGCAGGATCAGGACAGCCGGCCCGGCACTGCTGACCGCACAGCGCTGTCTCTTCCTCGGTGACTCTACCAACACTGTTCACAGCTAAGCTGTTCAGTAAGTTGTCATACTTACTCTCTTGTACAAATTTTTGTTTTTGCTCAAGTAGCTTTTCCCCCTATTTGAATCTTCTATGTATGTCATTCATTTATTGTCAATTTTCCCAGTGAAGTGGAATTTCCTCTCCAGTTCGAACACAGCAGGGATCGTTGATGCTGCCCCCTCCCAGTGGAGGCACGTTCTTGCTCCAGTCTGGGCCTTGCACATGCTCCCCCTTTACAGGGCCCTTCACCCTCCCCCTCAGGATTCCCTCCACCCCCCACCCCGAGCTCAGAGTCCCTTATTTCTTGGATTCCATGTCATCCGTCCTTCCCATAGAATTCTCTCATTTTCTTGTACAATCTATTCCGACAACCTCCTAAGGGTACATGAGTACAAAGATTCTGAGAACCTGGATGTCGGAAAATCTCTTTACTCCATCCTCATACCTGGTGGAATTGTACTGGACATAGAACTCTCGGCTGGCACTGACTTCCCTCCAGAGTCTGAAGGGCTTGCTCCCCTGCTTCCTCCTTCAGGACTGCTGCTGAAGTCCGATTGGTTCCTCACGTCCTGGTCGATGACCTGCTCGGTCTTCTCTGAAAACTGACAGGAACTTTTTATCCCTGGTTTCCTATATCTTGGTTAGGTCTTTGTTTGTTTCTTATGCAAAAACTCAGTGTTCTTTTCAACCTGAAAGTCATGTGTTTTACTTCCGGGGAAATTTCCTGCACATTTTCTTTGCTCATTTCCTCCCATTCATGTTCTCTGTTGGATTTTGGTCCTGAACTAAATAAGCCTTTAATTTTCTTATACTGTTTTTTTCTGCTTTTCATTTCTTTGTACTTTGTCCTACTTCTAAGGTAATTTCCTTATTTTCCAGTCCTTCTACCAAGTTGTGCATTCAATGATATTCTTAATTTTCAGAAACTTTTTTTTTGGCTCCTTGTATGGTTTGTTCCTATAAAATCGTGGTTTTACTTCATGAATACAATCATTGCTCATCACTGAAATGATACTTTTTAAAGACCTTCATTCATTCCCTCCATGGTCTCTGTTTCTTCTGAGTTCTGTTTTTCAGGTTGTAGGCTTTTTTCAAACGTGTGGTAATCTGGGGCTTTCTGTTCCCAGTTAAGGCTGAGGCACAGATAGATCAATGGTGTATCGTGATCCTGACCAGATCGCAAGCTGGATACAGATGCTGTGTGAGGGGCTTAGATTTGCATGACTGAGCAAAGACCCAGCTTTTCCACCGGGCAGTCCTGACTCCCAGTATTTATACATCTGTTCCCCTGAAAAGTGGTCACAGGCCAAACATTGCCTTTCTGATGTCTCTTCCATTGGGGAAAAAAAAAGAATTCCATAAGAGCTTTATTCTTGGCAAAGAGTAAGAAAACATTATATTTAAGGGTTGCTGGGATAATTCAGGGTGAAGTATAGTCATCTCATTATTCAGAAACTATAAATGTGGTTTGAGCACCAAATGTCACTTCTTCTTCAGCCCCAAGAAAATAAGCTCAATGTAAAGAAAATCAGATATATTTTTACACGGTTCTCATTTCTGTCCATAGCTGACTTCTGATTTACTGTTTCATTGTGGCTTTCTGCTTAATTTTAGAAACACCATTTTGGCTGTTTCTCGTAAAGTAAACCCAAACTGAAAAACTCCTCTGACAACCTGGCAGTCATACAAAGGACCCCGTGCGCTCAGGAGCTAGGCCGGCTTGTCAGGCGTGGGGTGAGTCCTGGGCCCTGGCCCTGCTTGAGGCTCTCACAGGACAGAACTGTCTTCTCCTTTCTCACCATGATTTCCTACTTCCAACAGTCTAAGTTAGCTTCACATGCAATTCAATCATGTCATGTTTCTCCATAGAATTTTTTTTCTAATTTCTCCATTTTGTATTGATCCTTTCACTGCTAAGAATGCAGTTTTCTGTTGCTTATTTCATCTAGGAAAGAATTTCAAAATTGCCTGAAGCAGGGCAAGAAAGGCTTATCTTCACTGAGACAAAAAAAAGTTCTTTTTAGTCTTCAAAAACAAGATTTGATAAAAAAAAAAAAAGAGCCATAAGGAAAAGCTGTCTGTACTGTAAAGAATATTCTGTTCAGAGCAGGGCTCTGGACTTGCCTTTTGTGTGGCTGGATATCACGTTCCTCGTCAGCTCACTGCTCCTCTGGGACGCCTTGCGGATGAAATGCAAACCTGGAGCTCCGATATGTGCTCACAGGGCAACACTTGAGTTTGAACTTCCTTCCAGCACAGCTGCTTGGCCAAGGATATGCT